CAATCTCTGTTGTAGAGATGAGTAAATTGATAGGTAGATGTTAAATCACCTGTCTGGGTTCAAACAATTACTGAGGAGCAGCTTTGGGATTGAAAACCCAGATCCTAGAGGCTGGAGAAATGGCTCAGAGGCTAAGAGCACTCGCTCTTGCAAGAGACCCAGGTTCAGTTCCCAGCAACCATATGGCAGCTCACAACCATCTATAACTCCGGTTCCAGGGGATCTGACATCCTCTTCTGATGTCAATAGACAGAAGGCACAGATGTGGTACACATGCCTTCATGTACGCAAAACACTCACACTCATAAAAATTAAATAAATACATCTAAAAAAGGGTTGAAACTCCTATCTTCTGATTCTAAATCGTGTGGTTCAATAGCCTTGTAAATTATATTTCTCTGTAAACTGTAAGCCAGTGGCTACTGGTAGATTGAGAGACTGTGTTAACATGAGTTTCAAATGTCATTGTTTCCCATAGATCCCTGTACTCATTAGTAGTCACTGCCCACCCTGTTCTTCCCCAGCTTCTGGCAGCCATTCTAACCTGTTCCTATGGATTCCTCTATCCTCAGTATTTCACATAAATGGGAACAATATGTAGCCTTTCATGTGTGTCTTCTTTAACATGGCATGTTTCCAGGGTTCATTGTGTGGCAGTATATTCCTCTACAGCTGGATACTATTATATTTCATAGTCTTTATTTTTTATCTCTTCACAAATAGACAGACGCATGGATTGTTCCACTGGGAGCTATCAGGAAATATTCTTCTATGAAAACTCAGACACAAGTTTTTATCTGAACATGTTTTCAGTCTTCTATTTAGACCTAGGAGTGGAACTGATAGGTGAAAACTCCATGATGAACTTTCTGAGGAGTGACCAAACCTCCCCCCCCCCACACACACCATTTTTACATTTCACACAGCAGTGAATGCTCACATTTCTCCATACTCTCTATTGAACTTGTTTCTTTCCTTTCCTGATTGTATTGTGGTTCAGAGTAGTGAGTAGTGAGGCTGACTGTCCTGGGTAGTTTTATGTCAACTTGACACAAGCTGGAGTCAACTGAAAGGAGGAACCCTCAATTGAGAAAATGCCTCCAGGAGATCAGGCTGTAGGCAAGCCTGAAGGGCATTTTCTTAATTAGTGATTGATGAGGGAGGGCTCATCCCATTGTGGGTGGGGTTAGCCCTGAGCTGGGTGGTCATAGGCTCTCAATGAAAGGATGCTGGACAAGCTGTGAGGAGCAAGCCAGTAAGCAGCACTCCTTCACGGCCTGTGCTTCTGCTTCCGA